TTCTAGGCCATTTACCTGTAGTATACAAAAACTGCCGTAGTGCTGAACATTCCAACGAAAGGAGTTAACCATAAGAAAAATCCAGAAATAAGGAGGAGAATGTAAAAAAGTTGCTCCTCATACACGATACCCAGAACACTTGTCTCATACACTCGCCACTTCACAACGAATGCATAAAAGTACACCATAAGTACTAGGGATACTTCGCCTCTTAGTGGTGGAAATCCCAGCCAAAAGAAGATGCTAAGGAAGATTATCAGCGCATTCAACCAGTTGGGTAACATCCCAGTAGACTGTTGTATTAACCAGGGGAAGAAAGTCAAAGCAAGCAGTAACCCGGATAAAATCTTGAAGTAACGGGCAATCGAGCGACGTTTCGTGGGAACGATGGTCTTGATTAAGTAGGACACGAGGAATGCGAGGAATAGGCAAGAGAACAAGTAAAACTGCTCGCGCACCTCTGGATGACCGATCTCAAATTGTTGAGTGCAATGTCTCACTGAAGTGTTCTGTCCTTTTGAAGTTTGAGGGACATCACTGCAATTGAAGCCTTTGCGCATGACCGCGCCAAGCACGTAATCGATGACGTAGGCAGATGGAATAGCGCCAGCGCTATAGATGATGCAGGGTATGAGGAGATTGACTGTGATCACCAGAAAAACCAGTATGATGCTCTCTAAAATGCCTTGTAATGGATTTTTCCAGTTGCATAAGTAACCAGCTCTGCTTCGTATGTGCTCAAAAAAAATTTTATGCCAATCCGGATCATCCGTTCTTTCGTGTCTGTATTTCCAGTCCAAGTAGGCAGCGGCTGTGTAATTTCCTCCTGAGACGCAGCTCACGTAACCAAATTTAACTTCACGATGTAGAAGCCTTCGCAACACACCTGAGCTCAATGCAGCAGAGCGAATTCCACCACCAGAGAAAGCAACGCCAATCTCTTCCTCTGGAATGTGTATCTGTGCCATCTCTATCTCTGGTTATTTCTGATGCTGTAATAATTCCCTGGAAATTCTTGAAAATGAAAAGAACAATTCCAATTACAATCCCGTAGTACTCCTCACTATAGTAGAAATTGCACATTTCCGCCTGAACTGCAGGTAAATAGATAACCATTCCTATTATTTCTGTTTTCTCATAACTGGAGCGGGTAAAACAAATTTAAAAATGCTCATTGATAGATATGTAAAGAGATCAATAATAGTATGGAAGCTGAAGGCTTGCTGGTTTAATTATAAGAGAGTTCCAGCGTCTATACCCGAGTTTCCCAGTACTTATCAACAGTCGTGTTACATGTCACGTGTCTTGCTACTTATTGACAGTTGTGTTACATGTCACGTATCCCCCTAATGAGGTCTCATTTGCAAACAGGAAATTGCCATAATTTTTGGGAAACCGCCTTCAGTCAGCGTTTATTCGGAATAAACGCTGACTAAACTCAAATCAATGATAAAGCTGGTTGTGCTTTTCCCTTCGCATGAAAGTGGAGATAGCAAATTACAATGTAAGAAAGGAAATTTTCTGATTGGACACCCGAGCGAGGAAAAAGAAACCAGAAAGTTTTCCAGAAGTTTTATGACTTTTACAGTAATTTAGGTTCAACATAGTAGCACTTCGTACGAGGCAGTCAACACAATGTAAACTAAAACGAATTTTGTCAAAACATTTTGCGAAATTCGAGCGTGGTTTTCATGCCATGCAATGAATCCTTTACGAAACAAGTTTGTTCAGTGAAGATGGATATTCGTGTTACCTCACTTCAAATGTAATACATCCGGTGGAGAACTTATAAAACATTCAATTTGGGCAATCTTGACTTTACGCATCGTCAATAAGGCAGGTTCATCGAGTAAATAACATCCCAAATCGATTTTTTTGTCATATACAGTTCATTAAACCTCTTTTAAGCGATCACGAAAAATCAAGACAGTTCCAAGATACTTACAAAGTATTAACCGACCTTTTAAGTGCGGTCACTTTCAAACGATAGCTTAGCCTGATATGAAGACCATGTCTTTATGAAGATTGTACGTCCATAACAAAATATTTTCGAAAAATGCATATATCCTCAAACAGCAGACGCAAACTTTACTTACCTCTCCGCTTAAAGTAGCAAACAAACAATTCCTAACTCCACTGAACTATACCTTTTTCAAATATCTCAGTTTTAAATGAGCTCACAGTGGGCGGGGGTTTACCCCCACAAAACACTTTCATTTTCAGAAAGGAAGTCCCTCTTTAATGTTCGCATATGTCTTCCGGGAGAATTATCAGTGAAGCTGTGCTAATCGCGTAATAGGTTTATATGTTTGGCGGTCTTTTGGTCGCTAAAAGAAAACAGCTGCAGTGATTCGAGTGCAGGAGCATCTACCATTTCTCCCAAATCACACACACAAAATCGTCTACCACTGCTTCTCTAGCCACAACTTTTTCATTCATGTTTCGAGAAATTACTTATTATTATCAACTCTTTCCCTGACCGCTTTCACTTTCGAGGTATTGATTATTCAAAATCACGTCAATGGCAGGTATTCTTAAGAAACGAATTGAGGCGAGCCATGTTTAAATCACTTACTTTCAAACATAAAACGCAAATTGATAGGTATTCGATGACGAATTACAAACTGATATCTCAAGACACCTGTACACAGTAAGCTTATTTACACTTATTTGTGTAAAACGAGTTGATAAACACAGATTAATAAATGAATCAATGTTAATTAAAGTGTCAGACAAATAGATTACATGAATTATAATAAGATTATTGACACATTTCGGCTCTACTCGAAATGTATGGAACATTAAGGTTATACATAATGTTGCAGCTGGTTGCGCTTTTCCCTTCGCATGAAACTGGAGAAAGCAAATTACAATGAAAGAAAGAAAATGTTCTAATCAGACACCCGAGGGAGGAAAAAGAGACCAGAAAGTTTTCCAGATGTTTTATGACTTTTACAGCAATTGAGGTTCAACATAGCAGCACTTCGTACGAGGCAGTCAACACAATGTAAACTAAAAAGAATTTTACTAAAACATTTTCGAAATTCGTGCGTGGTTTTCGTACCATGCGATAAATCCTCCATTAAACAAGTTTGTTCAGTAAAAATGGATATTCGTGTTACCTCACTTCAAATATAATACATCCGCTCGAGAACTTATCAAACATTCAAGTTATCAAGCATCGTCAAAAAGGCAGGTTCATCGAGTAAATGATATCCCAAATCGATTTTTTTTGTCATATAAAGTTCATTAAACCTCTTTTAGGCGATCACGAAAAATCAAGAGAATTTTAGATTCGTTAAGATACTTTCAAAGTATTAACCAAGTTTTTATGTACAGTTACTTTCAAACGATAGCTTAGCCTGATAAGATGGCCATGTCTTTATGAAGATTGTACGTCCATAACAAAACATTTTCTAAAAATGTAAAAATCCTCAAACAGCAGATGCAAACTTCACTTACCTCTCTGATTAACGTAGCAAATGAACACTCTTAACTCTTCTGAACGCTTAATGAATCTATCGTTAGATTTCACAGTGAGCGGGGGGTTTCCCCCACAAAACACTTCCGCCCCTCTTTACGTAATCCGTCAAACTGTGCTAATCGAGTAATAAGCCTGTGTGTTTAGCGCTCTTTTTATTAATTAATTGAAGATTATTCAAAATCATAACAGTGGCAGGTAGCCATGTTTAACCAATGCTGTCACTGCTTTTCTAGCCACAACTCTTTCATTTATGTAACGAGAAATTACTCAATATCATCAGTTCTAGATCTTTCCCTGACTGCTTTCACTTTCGAGGTATGACGTGTCATTCAATTAAATGATGATTATTTATATCATAACAATGACAGGTAACCATGTTTAACCACTTACTTTTAAACATGAAACGCAAATTAATAGGTATTTATTTTACACTTATTTGAGTAACAATAGTTGATAAACACAGATTAATAACCGAATCAATGCGAGTCAAAATATTGGACAAATAGATAACATAGGATATAATAAGATTATTGACACACTACACTCTTCTCGAAATGTATGGAACAATCAGGTTATACATAGTTTAAAATGGCGAAGAGTCACCGTCTGATTTTTCATTTAAAATCGCGGATTTTTGTGAGGTTTCTCAGTTCTACTGACATTTCATTTCGTAGTTTTGCTCTCAATCTGGCGAAAGAGTTGATCGAGTTGAATCGACGATCGGGAATCTTTGGTACAAACGTTGTTTGATGATATGCCAAGTACGCATACTATAGGAACAATCAATAGTGTATTGTCGTGACGGACATCATGCATGAAGAAACACAAGCATGCGGTTTTGTCCTCATTATCGTAAGCTTAAGATTCCTTCTAAGAAAATTTTAGAGGAAATACACACCACAAAATTGCAAGCGTTCTTGGATCAAGTGGCGAAGAAGAGCTTCTTTCTGTTACCAAAGAAGATTGTCAAGGTATAAGTACGAGCTCGTCCTCGTGTTGTTAAACCATAAGTTATGCCCCGTTCAAACTGTCATAGTGGTTAATGATAGTTTCAACTATCACGCGTATTTGAACACGAACTATCATGCTCTATCATCGACTACTTTCAACTATCATGCAGTTTGGACATTTTCAAATTCGACATGATAGTCCGGTTGACGATAGTTTTTGCCGTTTGCACGAGCAGATGATAGTGAATGATAGTTTTTCGGGCAGCAGTTTTGCCAAAACTGGGCTCAAACCGAGATGGCAAAGGATAAAATGAATTAAGTAGCCGTAAAAATTCCTCAGAATGTCTTGAAGTTCATTCTAATCATCTCCTGGTAGGCTTCAGTATCTTCAACTCGCAATTTCTTGACAATTAGGTGCTGCAAGGGGTCTGCACTTATTGATGACCGAATATTTTGGTAACATGTGACATTATCTTAAGATGTCTTTTCTTTAACTCGCAGTTAATCCCTACGATCACATGACTATTTTCCGCCAAGTCAGAAAAGCAATTCTAGCTTCTAAGATCTCCAGCGCGGAGACTGAAGACTTTTACGGAATGTTTAAATCTATATGTACTCCAGAGAACGTCCTTTTAAAGGTCTGATTTGAAAGTCGGGTAGGATTCAAAGGACTGTAAAAGATGTAGGTTCATCTACAATCAAGCTGGGAAGCGGTCATTAGTGATCGTCTTGCAAGGGAGGGGGGGCGGGGCGGGAAGCGAAGGATTTTGGTTCTGTCACAATAAAATTTACCTGATCCCTTCTAAGGCGCTGTAGCATTCTAATAAACTCCCTTTCAATTTCTTTATTCAATTTTTTTTGGTGAAAATGTCACTTTCAATTAACAAAAAAAGACTAGAGAGAAATCCTGGAATTGGTCGGACATAGTACTATTTGGCATATGGCGTGACAGCTTTTTACTCAGCTTCGCATTTTACACTAGGACAGAACACGCTCTTTCAACCGATGACAGAGCACGTTATATCCGAACTTTATTATAAACCATAATAAACGGCTGAATGATGCCTCTTACAGTCATTTTTTTTTCTCGCTAAAATAAACTAGCATTACATATATCATACAAAAATTTTGAGGTTTTGAAACTTTGTAAATTATAGGGAATTCTGTAATCTCAATGAAGATTCAATGGAATCCTTTATTCTCAAAGACCCTCATTCATTCACCCTCCCGACCCAATCTTTCATGGTCATTAAACGGTAATTTTTTCTAAGCAATCTTGCAATAATAAAACATTTCTTTTGTTTTCCCACCAATAAACCCTCGTTTATAGAAATTTTCTCTTTAAATTAAATTTCTTAAAATTTCTGCCAATTTCTATTCAGAGGGTACAATAAAAGAACATGCGCAGTCCCTTACTATTTTCATTCTCCGTAGTGGGACGGTACGTTCTTCTTCATTACACAATATCTGCGAGTTCAGTGGCATCACACTCCTTAAGAAATTCCTCGGCACCAGATTCTACGCATGCACGATACCCCTCGCGGTGATAAGCTGTATAGAGTGAAGACGTAAAGAATTGATTGACAGTTGACGTACTTGGGAATCCCAAACAAAGCTTTTTAGATATCCACTGAAGGACTTTGGAGTTTGAGTGACAACATTCACAGCAGCAGAACGTCAAGCGGTCAACTTCATCTTCGCTGAGAACAGGCCCTTTACCCCACTCTTTTTCGTCAAGTCGCTCTCCGGTATCTTGGTGGTACTGATCCCAATTATTTTCCAAATCTAGAGATGGTTTTCCATACTTGGGGTAACGAGGTGCGATGATCATTATGTCGCCTTCACTCACTTTCTCGTAGCTTTCATCGGGTTTTTTGTCGTAATACTGCACCTTAAATCTATGATATCTTGGCTGGCGACCTCGAGGTACGTCAACGTACGTTTTACGCATCTCCTCCTTCACATCACGGCCACCAAATCCCACAAACTCACAATTCAGGACCTTTCTGGCTTGATCCATCGATTTCAGGATCTGTTTGGCGTAGTCTTCATCGTTCACTATAAAACTTCCATCCACGATTAAAATCCGCTTAAGTCTTTTCTTCAGTAGTGGTAGCAAACCAAATTTCTCCAGGCGACCACCATCACTGAGAGATAGCAGTGCTGGGGGCCTGGGGCCGACATTGTTCACTTGAAATAACTCACGCAACATTCGAACATGATATAAATGTACGTGACACCATCTGTAGGAAACAAAAGATCAGGGTCACTAAAAGTAATAAAAGCTGTGAAGTGCGCCAAAAGGTTTGATCGAAGATAAAGTTTTCAGAAAATACGTTTGTTTAAGAAGACAAAAACTATCGCGGCATTTTCGGAGCGCAATTAATGACAAAAAATAACCTAATGACAGGCTTTTCGAAAAATTAACCATCGTTAGAGCAATTTAAAATCAAATGTTGTAAGTAATCCAGGATTAAGAAGTTTTTTTTTTCATTGTGTGCTATGATTGTTATAATAAACTCAAAGCTCTTTCCCGCACAATCAGATGTAAAACGTAAATCAGACTGTTGCGTTTCCTTTGTTCAGCTCTGATTGTCAGTCGTAATTATCTTAGACTTGTTTTTATATGACATTCCGGCAATTGACAAGCGCTCAACTGAAGCATAGATTTTCCATTCTGTACGGACACACACTGATAAGGTAGAACTCTCAAATTTCTCACCTTGCAAAGTTGTCGAGGAAGCATGGTGTTCTACGGCCAGTTTGCAACAAGGCAATTCCGAAAAAAATTATAAAATAGACCACGAACGAAGCGATAGCGGCTCTCTCAGCATTCTTCATGTCCCAAGGAGAATGCCAGATGGCTGCAAGCAATATTATCGGGAGGGCTGCGATGCTCTGGATTAAAATCGCTAAAATCTGAAACAAAAACGCCAGACAACACAATGAGACAACGGAATAAAAACGATCGGAAATAGAAAGTTGTCGATGGTCAGTGGAGAGCTTATTTTGTTATCACCACGAGTCGTCCGTTTAACCACCCGCCGCCGGCCACCCACCACCTGCCAACCGCCGCCTACCGCCTGCTGCTAGCTGCTTACCGCCTGTTGCCCGCTGCCTGCCGTCTACTACCTGCCGCCTACTGCCCACCGCCCGTCGCCTACCGCCTGCCGCCTGCAGCCTGTCGCCTGTCCGCCTGCCGCAATTGCATTCGCCTCTCATATCGTTTTATCGTTTTCCTAAAGTTAGGTTTCACATTGCAACCCACCTTTGAAGCTAATTCTCCTCCACATCCGAAAGACTCATTCGGATTACTCCTGATTCCTTTTCGGAGGGTTAATCCCAAAAGCATCTGTAGATCTCTGAACGGCTCCTCCTGCTCCGGACTCAGTGCCATCACAGCAGCAGAGGTTACCATGGCATCCGTCTGATTGACGTATTTTGGATACAATTTGTCCTCCACACTAGGTTCCCCCGGCTGATGGTCGATTCGTTCATTCTCAGTCGGTGACAGTGCCATGATGGCGTAGGAAGGCTCTTTTAGGATCGGTTTCTTGCGCCAATAATCCACTGCCACGTTACTGATGTATTGCGGTTTGACTTGCTTTAGGTCATCCATAACTAGAGGTTCTTTGGCTGGGTCGTGCTCCTCGGGGCTATAGCAGGACAGTATCGGGAAGAAGTCTCGGCAACTGATTCCGTTACAGCCAAGTAAACCAACGCTTTTCTTCGTAAAAAATGCTCGCTGCAGTCTCCACCTGAAATTGAAAAGAACTTCGCTCTATTACCCCATTCACGCAAAATATTTTTAGTTGAACCGGGTTTAACTAAATGAAAAGGACCAATATCAGTATCTGGGCAACTGCCCACCTACCCCTCCCCTAACCCAACATTAACCCTAAGTTGTTATCAATAGACTGTTGTTGGGTTAGGGGAGGGGTAGGTGGGCAGTTGCCCAAATTAGAAACAGAGAACTAAAAACTGAGTTTCCATAGGATTCAAGTAATCGCTAACTTTTGTTTTCAGTGAGCTACATTTAAAGTCGACAAACATCGGTTTAAGCAGCTTCTGTGAAGTAACAAATTTATAGAACTGTGTTTAACAAAAAAAGTTTAAAACACATTTAAGGTTTAGTGTGAATGAGGTATAAGATTGAAAGAGGCTTTTTGAAATCATTCGAGTGTGCGCAGTAACTCTGCCTCCATTGAACTATGTTCCTCTCCTTGTCTGTATATCGCAGCCAAATAAATGGTTAGAAGCGTGATAACGTTAAAATGAGGATTGTTCGATCCTTGGCATAAACCTACTTGATCTCCGTTCGTAGATGACAACACAACAGCTACCTCTTGAATTGATTGAGAAGTTAGCACTACTTACTTGTAGTATGTAAAAATTGCCGTGGAGCTGAACATTCCAACGAAAGGATTCAACCATAAGCAAAATCCAGAAACGAGGAGAAGATTGTAAAAAAGTTTCTCCTCATACTCGATACCTATAACACTGGTCTCATACACTCGCCATCTCACAACGGATGCATAAACGTACGCCACTAGTGCTAAGGATGCCTTGCCTCGTAAGGGTGGAAATCCAAGCCAGAAAAAGATGCTCAGCACGATTACTAGCGTATAAAGCCAATCGGGAAGAACCTCAGTAAACTGCTCCATCAACCAGGGAATGTACGTTAAAGCAAGCAGCGACCCGGACAAAATCTTGAAGTAACGGGAAATCGAGCGAAGTCTTAATGGAGCGATAGTCTTGATGACGTGGGACACAAAGAATGCAAGGAAAAGAAAAAAGAACAGGTAAACTGGCTTGCGCATCTCTGGCTCGTCGATTTCGAATTGTTGAGTGCAACGTTTCCTTGAATTGTTCAGTCCTTTTGAAATTTGTGGGACATCGGTGCAGTTAAAGCCTTTGCGCATGACCGTGCCAAGCAGGTAATCGATGACGTAGGCAGATGGAACAGCACCGGCGCTGTAGATGATGCAGGGGATTAGAAGATTGACTGTGATCAGCAGGAAAACCAGTATGATGCTCTCTAAAATGCCTTGCAATGGATTTTTCCAATTGCAAATGTAACCAACTCTGCTTCGCATGTGTTCAAAAAAATTTTTATGCCATTTCGGATCATCCTCTTTGTTGTTTCTGTATTTCCAATCCACGTAGGCGGCGGCTGTGTAATTTCCTCCGGAAACGCAGCTAACGTAATCAATTTTAACTTTACGATGCAGAAGCCTTCGTAACACACCGGAGCTCAATGCAGCAGAGCGAATTCCACCACCGGAGAAAGCAAGGCCGGTCTTTTCCTCTGGCATGATGTGGTAATTCCCTAGAAAATCTTGAAAATAGATGGGACAATTCCAATTAGATATATCTCAGCTTAATATATATTGCATATTTCCGTTCTTATTCACGAGATAAGTTATGCTCATTTCTCGATCTGGTTATTTACTCATCAGCAGAATTGATCAAACAGAAACAAATAAAAAATTAAAAGAATAAAAATCAAATTTATAAATGCTAATTCGAGCATAGGATAGCTCCTCGGTTTAGACCTGAATAACAACGTTGCGTTACATGTCACGCGTCCCGCTTGTCAAATGGACGGAAATCCAATCTTTCATCATGAAAGCGGAATTTTTAATGTTTCCGTGATTCTACCAATTGCATCAGCCATCCAAGATTACTACTGTGTCGTAAAGTCACAAATTGGAAAGCTTTACAGGTGAATAAAAGCCGATCAAGTTCAAAATGCTCAGCTCCCATTCTATAATAGTGCGGTCTGGTTTTTGTTAATTGGATCTCTGAGCGAGAGAAAAAAATTCAATGCTTGTTAAGGAATTTTGACTGTGACTGATGTTAAACTGCAATAGTTCGTCTTAAGACATTCAAAGCAGAGAAACCAAAATGAGTTTCGTCATTTCATTTCGAAAAAAAGCGCAATTCTTTCGTGTAATCTTCGTACACTATGATGAATCCAATATTGACAAAGTTTGTTTGATAAACGCAACGACTTGTTTTGCCCTACTCCGTACGAAACGTTGAATAGATCTCAGCAAACATCGAGCCATCTTGACCTTAGGCACAATCAATAATCATTCAAGTGAATCAAGTAAACAAGATCGTAAATTGAATGTTTTCCATTTGAATTGCTTCAAACCTCTCCTGAATGATAGAGAGAATTGACGCAAGAGTTAAAAGATCAAATTCTTACAAAATGTTTATAAAGTTATCTTTCTCAGATATTCAACTTTCAATTTCGATTCAGGAGAGAAACACTTCCATAGGTGCGTAGCACATTCCTGAAAAGGATACTTAGAGAAAATTATAAAAAAAAAACAATGATAAACTGCGCTTACCTCTGAGGACTCTCACTTATTCAAATTATACACAGCTTTCAAGGAAAGCTCTTTATATCCATTCTCCTCAAATTCCTTTGCGGTTTTTTCCCCTCCCATCGGTTCAACTTCCTGTTCTGTTGTCCAGTAGTTGGCCGGTGACGCACGACGCACTCGTGATGTCACATGGATAGTGTAAAGATCCTCATTTCCAATCTAAGAGATAAAATTTGAGGAAAAAAAGAAATACCTTATTTTTTTATCGGCTACTCTGTTTATTTTATAAACAATATATCACGGGCAATAAATCACGGGAGTGACTCAAAACACTTCCCTTCTCAGAAAGCCCGGAAAAGTTGAGCATATGTTATGTGAGGCGCCTATAACCTCTGTACCCCTCTGAAATTTCAAAGTGTCAATAGTAGCTTTGCTGATCGACATCAAACTCACACGATTTCTGATAAGTCCCCCACAAAAGTTGTTGACGTGTTTTGAAGTTACCGTCATCAATTCTTTCCCCAACTGCTTTAATTTTCGAGATTTCTTTCAGTTTCATTTAGCGTGTTTTAGCCGGACCATGTGTCACGCTATAACCCACTTTGAGCGTGACGTGTTCATAAATTCGGGCTTAACATGCCAGCTCGCGCGTAAGTTTCCACTGACGACAAAGCCACGTTGGTTTCCTCTTTTTTTTTTTGTTCATTACTTTTTCGAAGGAAAGAGTGCGTACATAGTATGAGCACAACACAAATCTATAAAATGTTGTAATGCAGTAGAAATAGATCTGTGATATTTTAAATCCTGTATGATGTCGGAGATACAGCCTCCTCTTTGCGTTCAAATCTTGATCCATAGTACTCAATTAATGTTTAATTCTACATATTTGCCGTTCGTTCTTCCACGAAGGTTGTGTAAAGAAAGGGAAACGCTAATTACGTACGAACAGCGCCCAGGAAAAATTACACGGAAGGTAAACAATAACTATTTCATCACAGACTATAAACGGTCGCTTAGACTTTTCATTTTTCTTGCACGTTGCAAGCGCTGCTGCATTAAGCAGTGTTAAGATTAAAAAAAAATGATAAAAAAGGAATAAAATTTCGTATAAGAGTAGACATAACCCAAGATTTATGTTATCTACGCAACAGGCTATCTCTAACTACTTGCGATCCGCAAGAGCGCACGGTAAGTGCGTTTCCGTGATCCCTCTCTGGCTTGATCCAAAGCGAATTATATTTTTCATATCTGAAGGCTAAAAGTCATCAACGTGTATGGTGACAAATGCAATTTCCGGGACTTGTTGTGGGGTTGTTGTAAGTGGGAGGTTTGTTACGTGAACCAGTGATCCAGATCAAAGAGGAATTTAGCGAAAGAATGATCAAAACATCACATTGCAACTAAAATTGAAATCTTACCTTTGCATTTGATTCCTCTTTCTTTGAAGTGCTACAGTCAACTTTCAAAAATACGGGGTAGAAGCACAGAGGATCGAGAATCTTACCTAAGTCGACCTTGGCTTTGTCTTTCTCAACACGTATCATGCAGGTATTCTGGGCTTGTCATTTGATACAGTGGTTTCAATTCTTTGCTCATCATATTTTATATCAGATGACAAACCCCACTTGAATAGCAGTTGGTTAAAAATCGACTTAACGCAGATTAACCGTAATGAAACTTTCGCGCGGATCGCGCGCTCTCGCGAAAAGAGGCTGGGTTACAAAGCCCTTGTAATGGCGACTATGTTCTTTGGAGATGTCCGAGGTTGATTTTGGTCGATTCCACCGCAGACTTGTTTAGGATAGTTTCGACCTTTAAGACTTCAGAAATAACCTCTATAGTTCTATTGTCAAAGGTGGGAATCAAAGGGCTGAAAAAGATGTAGTTTGAAGTGGACTCAATGTATTTTAGCATGAGTGAAAGACGTTTCTTTTCTCTTCTATTGTCATTCACTTGGTTTTTGCCACTACAAGGGGGCATAAACGGTAAGGAATTCTTAGATAGTTTAAACATGGCGAACAAATCATGATATCATCACATCCAAACTAAGTAATGGTTTTCTCAAAAGTTTACACTAGATTTCTTTCCCTTCTCTCGGAGAATCGATCAAAATTAAATGTTATGTTTATTACATTTAACTTATAATATCGGCGGTGAAAACATACAGCTGTTTTATAATATTATTGTAGGTGCATTTGAACCATGCCCTGGGAAATACTGTGGAAGGGTAATTAAAGAGGATGGAAAACCTGGAGACTGCGGAGTAAGTAATGCGATTCTTTAATAAACAACAAATTTTTAAAAATTTCTCGAGAATGCAGACGCTACATGTCTTTATTACAGTCCAATAGTAAGCTAGTTGCTAAGCTTGAATTAAATCCAAAATACCGTTCAAATGTATGCTTCTCTAAATGTGGCAAATATGAAAAATCTTTTTTGAGTATATCAACGTCAAAACAATGTCATTCCTACATCGTGTAGTTTTTTTTATTGGAATGCATATCATTTTGCACTGCTTCTCCACTGTAAAGGATTCCAGTCTATTGCAAGTTCTAATAAAGCAAAAGGCTTCACTTTCTAACAGATTTCTCTGTGTATTGAACGGCAGTTCAGATGTATGATATCCATAAATTCACAATCATTTATTTATCACTTTCAAGTTTATTACGAACCATCAAAATGACCAGCTCCAACTTGGCTTATAGGTTCAGTTGTTAAAGCATTGCACCAGTATTGCAGAGGTCATGGGTTCAACTCGCATACAAGCCTGAATTTTTCAGGCTTTCTTTTCACTACTGCTTAAGTAGTGTACATAACTGCAGTGATTGCTCTCATCCTCATAGATCAGGAGTGTAACAACTCACTGTCAAGAAAAGTTGGGATAACATAAGATTATTCACCTCTGGCTTGGGATTTTCAAATTTTTGTTTTTTCCTATTAAAATATCAGGGTTGATTGTATAAGTAATCAGTAGTAAATAGGTTTTTATCTTGATTGTTTTAATTTTATTATCATCAATTTTGTTTTTAGAGGGTCACTAGGAAGGGAGAAAATAAGAATTTTTTTTTAAGATCTTTTATTTTAATTACTATTTGTAAATAGGCTTTTTATCATTATTGTTGTAATTTATTGTTATCAATTTTGTTTTTAGAGGACCACAAGGGAGAATACTTTTCAAAGTAATTGGTGTCACCCTCTTAAAATAAAGGTTATTAATAATATAAAAATCTTTCCATTTTAGGCTTGCCCAAGAGGTTATAATACCAATGGCACAGTATGCTTGGAATGCTCATCATCTCCTGATTTATATGACTGGTTGTACTTGGGTTTTATGGCATTCTTGTCTTTGATAATTCATTGGTTCTTCATTGACTTGTTTGCCAAAAGAGATAGAAAAAGGTAACTACAAATGGAACTTTATTAATATTCAGTCATGCTTCTATTTAGGTGCTTCAAGTTCAGAGTTTTGTGTGACTGATGTTGTTGGGAGATTTTTAATCTAAATTTTTTTTCACCAGTACTTTGAATGCAATTGATTTCTCAATTTTGTTTTTATGACTATTTTGCAGCATCTTGTTTCTCTGTGCGAGTGCTTTTGTTGAAAGTACTTTAGCTGCCATTTTTTCTCTTCTCATCAGTAAACCTCAAGGTTAGTGTAGAACCTTAACCCTTTAACTCCCAGATCAAATTTGTAATTCTCCTTACTGTCAACCATACAATTCTTATAATGTTAGTTCTGAAAATTTAGTATTGGATCAATTAATTATCCCCAAATTGATATTTTTTCTTTATTCTCATCACTTTTCTGGTTGATGTTATATTGATATTGTGAGGAAAATTCTGTCTGCAAACATGTATGAAACATTTAAAGGGCCTTGTTTTAATTTTTTGTTCCCATGCAACACATAGACAATGCCACAATTGGATATGACTGCTTACCTGTAGATTACATTGAGGTTAAATGCTTTAATCAATCACTACTTTTGCAGTATGTTTAATATGTTGTTACTGCATTGTCTTTTATCTCAATTGTGTTATGTCGTAATGATGCTCAATGCATTTACTTTTTATCTTTGTTTAAGCAAGATATATCATCAGTTTTCTTAAGCAGTAAAAATTACAAATTAACCTTCCATGTGGTTTGAAATCATTTCAACCCCAATCCCATTTTAACCCTTTCACTCCTAAGATCTCACTAGTTATTCTCCTCACTGTTTCCCATTCAATTCTTGTGATGATAGTTGGGAGAATTTGGGGTTTGCATCGACTAATAATCCCCTAATTGATATTTCTCTCGATCCTCCTTGCTTGTCTGCTTGATAATGTATTGATATTGTGCAGTAAGGAGAAATTCTGTCTCAGTCACTCATAGAAGTTAAAGGGTTAACCTGCAACATGTATAGTTCTATGGCAACTTCTGTTTTCTGGGGACTATGTCATGGGCAGAGAGGGGCATGGTGAGAGTTAAGTATCTTACTCATGAGCACAACACAGTGAGGTTCCCTGAACTTTAATCAAACCTCTAGACCTGGCCCCAGTTGTTTGAGGGTTGGATATTTCTATCCATTGGCTAAATCTCTGCACAGTGGATTACACTATATGTTTTGCTATCACTTATCTGTGGGATAGTGATTTATCATGGGATAGTGTTGTCCACCCTTTATTCAACTGGCCCCTGGAGTCCAGCATGTGAATTGATAGGCCAGAACATCTCCCACTTGAGAAGGACTTGTTATCCTTTGAGGGAAAAACAAAATGAACAACACAGGAAAGAGATGTCTTTTGTCTGACTTTAACTTTAAGCAGTATACATTGTTCTACATTTACTGGTTTCTTTTCCAAAGATTAGTGTTTATGTGGATAAATTAAACTTGTTTTGTCTTTAAACATATAGGCAGCCTAAGTTTGACCTCATGCAAGACAAAACAAATTGCAGACTGGTATACAATATTCTTTAATCCCAAACCTGATTATGTCAACACCATTCATTGCACACAGGAAGCTGTTTATCCTTTGTAAGTAGCAACAAAAAGGTGGTTTGGGGAAGAATTGATTATTATTATTATGAAAAGCTCCTACTGAAAAAGATTTTTTAGTATAATTTTGTCCATTAAAATGTACTGAAATTTACAATAAACCTTATAGGGGAGTATCTGGTTTGGCAAGGAAATAGGGAAGTACAAAATGTGTGATGTTGAGGACATTGTTGAGGAAGTTTATTTTATGGCCTGATGATGATCATTAGACATTTGTTTTCTATGAAGGCATTGAATGATGAATTGTCGGCAATGAATGTCCTCAACAGGCAGATAACAAAATAGTTGCATTGCAATCTCTTAAAGCATATGGGACATATTGATAAAGGGTGCCTCGGTCCAGGTTATCATTGAATGTAGATCAGGTATATTCTGTGAGACCAGAAGTAGACATTTCTGGTGAATTTCTGTATGTTTTTCAGCTTTTTAATGTTTGGTTTTCCTGTGTCAGGTACACCATAGTGCTCATGTATTATGCACTCTCTGTTGGGCTCCTGTTTTTGTTCCGGCCCATTATTTCACACCAGTTCTGTGATGGCCAGGGGAGAGATTCTACGTATGCTGCCATGTACTTCTTACCATCCCTTGCAGTGTTGCATGCCTTATTTGGTGGAATCATTTGTAAGTGTTTTTGTTCTGTTTTGTTTATGATGAGGCATCAAGTTATTTAGTCTTGATGAGAAAACCTTGACACTCTATATAACATATTCATTATACTTTCCATTCTTTTATTTTCAATAGATTATTCTTACCCATACATCACTTTAACTGTCTCTGTCCTGAGCACTGCTGCAGTCCTTGCCAAGAATAAAATAACGGTTAGTGTACTTTTGCATATCCCAGATGGTATGGTTTTAATCCTTTAACTCCCAAGATCTGATTGTTAATTCTCCCCT